TAAAAATGTTAATATAATAAATATAATATAATTACGGTATCTCTCTTAGTCTGACTCCTCCCCTTCGACCTGTCCGGCATGAGTGACCCTACCGCTAACTATTAACATTTTCGAATGAACTAAGTTTGATCGCTTTGAGAGCGATTAAACCCAATTTACCATGAATATATGTTTGACCAAAAATAGATTTTGAGAGAATCTAATTAATATAAATAATATAAAATACATTCCCCGTTTTCAACGTTATTTTGTCTTTAAAGTACAAAATTCTTTGTCCTGATTGATCAATCAAACGATTACTCAAAATATTCCATTGATTAATCTATATAATAATTCAAGTACCCCTAATAACCCAAGATGAAGTGTATGACGTCATTAATCAGTCTCAGAACGATCAAACTTGCTTCACTCGAAAACACTATTACCGCCGGCATAGTTCTCAGGTTCATTAGAGCACTCAAACCTCCTCACCCGGAAAATGCCTTCGTTAAGGTGGAGATACCATCGAGGAGGAAAAATGTGTGAGGACTTTTTCCTCTTTTTCATTTCTCAGGGTAGGTCTTTTTATTTTTATTTTTGTTTTAATACACAATAAATGATATAATAAATTTAATATACAAAATATATACTAGAAATTTTTAGAATAGACAAGTTTTTAGCAACGATTAATTACATCGATATTTATTCTTAATAATCAACATACAATTATAGAACTTAATAAGTTTTATAAAATGTAAATAATCGCGATCAAAAGAGTCGTTAATAAAGCTATCAATCGTCTTTTAATTGTAGAAGAAAAAGAACTTGCACTACTTGGCGTATTTTGCGCAGATTTTCAAATAAATATTTAAGATGCGGAAAGATAGACAAAGCTTCGATGTAAATCAACGATTAAATTATAAAATAAATCGCAATTTAAAATTCGCGAGCAAACGCGACGAATAAATAAATCGACGATATTCGTAATATTTGATTGTGATACGCGTAATTTTTATAATAATCGAAACTCACATACGTACGCACGCACGATATAATTACTATTATTTTATGCAAAAATATTTCGACAGACATTCGAGATCTGCAATATAATATCCACCGTTCGATTTATTTTCCAATACGCGATTTTATACGAAACTCGCGATCAATAATAAAATATATGTATATTCTATCTCGCGGATGACTGTTTTAACAAGATAAAATGGGTCTTATAAGACTTAAAATATTGTTTTAAAAAATCGCGTTATTGCCACGTTTTATAGAGATTAACAGACCCAACGATTTTAACAAAGCTTTCCCTCCGCCGGGTGACACGCTGGTTAATATTCGACAAAGAGGAGAACGATCCTAAAGGTGAAGAACGACCAACGTCTTGTTTCTACATCAATTTTTGTAAGATTGATCCGCAAAGAAAAGTTAAGTGATCCGTTGAACGTTAGAGCCGCTGCAGGAGGGAACGAATCCCGGATCTTCCGGACTGCTCCCGACAGCAATGATTTTGGTAAGGAATCAACGACAGTTACCATTGTTATTATCTTCAATTCACGAGATCGAAATTCACGCGAGAAAACGTGTTCTTCCATTATTAAAAAATATGTCTTTATTGAAAAATATATGGATATAACTATTTTTATGTAAATGTGGTTACAAACGACTCTATTTACGAATAATAAAATACATGCATTATTATAGGTTGTGTTAAATGTGCGAGTACAAATAATTAGCGGGTACAAACTGCTCGAGACAAATCGAACCCGATAACAGCAAAATTTAAAAAAATTTGATTCGAACACTTTGTACAATAAAATAAATCGAAGTAATTTCAAGTAATTACTTCTAAGCTATTTCTCTGTAGCGTACAAATAAATTAATTTATCGATCTTTTACTAATATCGGGGTACCCATTCGATTTATCTCGAAGTTTTTAAGTATTCGCACATTTTACGTTACATTCATATATATAATTTTGTATATAACGTAATATTCAAAGAAGTATAAAAATTTTTTGAAATGATACACTGATTTGTTCATGTATTTTATTATATATATAGAATAGTACATATATCCAAAAACATTAATCTAGGACTAATGTTTTAGAGTAGCACTGTTAAGTCTTTCTTTTTCACAAAGAGAATAATAATATTAATACTAATAATAACAGAAAAACACTTTTAACAAAGAGAAGAAAATATATCATTCTTCTAAATATACTGTTTAAATTGATTAATTCGACATTAAAGAGGTGTGTGGCGCTCGTCGTTGAGTTACTACCGAAACCATTGCTTTCAGAAATCGCCAGGAAAACCTGGAATTAATTCCAATCTTGCAACGAAAATCCCCAATTTTCAACAGAGCACCAAACTAGACGTCGCGGATAGATTTTACAAAAACCAATAAGAAATAATTCTTCACGATGAAGATCGTTTCGACTACTTGCCGGTACGAACCAGGCAATTTTTTAACGTTCACCTGACGAGAGGGAGAGCGATTGCGTTCAAGAATAAAAAGAACAGAAAGAACGCGAGAAGAACGCGGAAAAACGCGGAAGAAACATGGTGTTTTTGCAATGTAATTTATTAATTTATTTTACGAATATTTGGTTCCGATACAGAATTCGTAAATACATTAATCTCTAATTGAAAGTAAATCATAAAATTCGTAATAATTTACTCGTGATTTTGCAATATCGAAGGTGATCGTTAAATTTTGTGAATAAGAAGCTGATATTTAACCGTTAGTTTAATCGAATCTTCATACTCTTATGCAATATTTTTTATATTTAATACTAAAGAATTACATATATTTGTAAAACTTGTAAAGTTTGAAATATATATATAATATATATAAAATTTCCCATGTTATAACATTTTTATTATTTTAATTTTATTTTTAATTTTTTCCTTAATGTCCTAATGGTCCCTATAGCCCTAACAATCCTATTTGCTGGTTGAATCAGGGGAGATTTATATTCTAGGGAGAACATATCCCTAATCACGTGCCCTAACTGCGTGCACTAACCGCGTGCCCTATTCATGTGTCCTACTCGCACGCCCTAATCGCGTGCTCTAACCGCGTGCCCTACTCACGCGCTCTACTCGCGCGCCCTAATCGTACCGTATGTACTTCTCGCTACGCATTTTGGCCATTATTGACCGCCTATTTTGCGTAGCAAATCCATTCTTCGAGCCAGTTGGACCTACCTTTCGTTGCTCCTGGCCATTTTCTGGATCAATCTCTAATCAGAGATCAAAAAAGGAGATATACACTCCTTTTATCGCCGGCTATTTACTATCGCCAGCAAATAACCGCAAGATTTTTCTTGCGTTCGTAAGGAGATAAACTCCTTCTTTTGCCGGGTAATTTTTGTCGCCGGCAGATGAGTGTGACCAGCTCGTTGACGATCGTGCAATTTTACGATCGTTTGTTAGATGTTCATTTTAATATAACTTTATTTTAACTGAGACAAAGCCAAGTTATCAATCAAAATTTTGATTAAAAAAATATGATTGATTGATTATTTG